TCTAGAGTTCGTACCATAATCCTACAATAACGAAGAGTAATCGAAGATGCGTTCCACTGCAAAACTACCCTAGTTTCACGCGTACAAGGCGCGGGGTGGTCCTAGCTTTCATCGACCAGCCCAAACACGGCAAAGGACTTCGCAACCAAAGAAACCCCATACCGTGCTGCGTTTTGCCTGACGAATCGTGCGGCATAAGGATCGCTTCTTAAAACACGTTGGGGCGGCTGAGCAGCTCGATGAAAGCTAGGACCAACCTGTACGCGTGAAATTAGTGTAAATTCAGCTCAGCAATGATACCTGAAAATCGGCAAAAGTTTGAAGCACGAGAGCTATCCGATCAAACAGTATGCACATTCTCGGGACACCTTGTATTTTATATATAAAGCTGATTGTCTGTCTGTATGTATGTATGTATGTCTGTATGTATGTATGTTCCGAATAGAAAATTCATTTCTCAATCGATCCGGACCAAACTTGGCACACATACCCTTCGGCGGGTATCATAGGCTACTTTTCGTCATAGATCGATACCGATTTTATCGATTTTTACGGATTTGCTGCAAAGTTTGACCTACGAGGCTGCGAGTTGGCACATGGGGTAATCTTACAGCGGGAGAGGAAATGGCATGTAGACATGGGCACAGGGAAAGGTTGTATAGGGATACGGATGAGAGCTCTACCATAATGTTTGACAGACCCGGAAGGAGCCGGGTGAGTCAGCTAGTGTTCAAATAATTCAACTTCAGAAGTAGGTCAGCAAATATCAAGTACCTGTGCTTTCTTGAAAGATAGGAACAAGAACTCAGTTTTTATTTGTATCCAAAAGTATCTATAGGTCATTTATAAAATCGTGACGACGGATTCTACTGCGGTCTTTGCGCGCACAGAAGCATAAAACACTCATACAAAAAGACATCACCCGACGCTCAGCTCAGCCACTTCTAGTGTCTAGGTACTATCATACTTAAATAGAAAAACCGCTGGAGTAGAGACGAAAACCGAGCTGCGGTTTTTAGAGGGCGCGTGCATGTCGCGCGCGGTCGCACCATCGTCGCGATTTTTCGAATGTCCTATATGTTGTACACGATACACATCATTATTGAAACTACGGTTTTTCTCTTTGAATTCGAAGCAAAGGAAAGTTACGACGTCGCACGTCGTTCGCGTTACCGCACTTCGTTGCAACTGTTGTTCGAATTGTCCTCATATCTTCTAAACAAATAACGGCGGTAAGAAGGAGAAGCTTAGGCCTTTGACTTGATAATCTTGGACAAGAAGAAAATCTCGCGTAAACGTTAAAAACATCCTTCAAAGGCGCGTGCTGCACCATGTGCAGCACCGGTCCGAAACGTGTTAAGCTTGAGCAGAGGGTCGATCATAAAAGTGCTGATTGGTCTCGTTAGAAAGTGACCTTCAACGTCGGTGACGCTGTCAGTGCTCCCAATCGTCTCATGACGGACAGAATGATGAAATGGTATTGAAGGATTCTGCTAAAAATTTGGTCTCCGATCAAATCATGATTTTCACAAGCTGATCGCCATTCTTCAATTTTTGATTGAAGCGATTCTAACAAAAGCGTTAATTTCAAATTGTTCCCATTCTTTCTTCAGTCTAATTTTTTCCACGCGGTTTTTGTTCGTGCTTTCAATAGATTCTGACTTTGTTGTGAACAGCGTCGTTGGGGTTACTTCTTTGACCGTGGCGAAAAACCTACGAATAATCTTGCAAAAAAGCGTTTTCCTTCACAGTTCTCCTTTAGACTGAAGACCAGGCGCTTTTTCTTCAACTTTCAATTGCTTCTTCCTCAGAGTGGTGAGCAGAACAACGCAGAGTCGTTGGAAGCAAGACGGGGCAAGAAATCAAGGGGCTTCAGAAATCAGATTGTGCACTTCTTCGGGGAGACAAAACTACGCGTTTCCTAATAAGTTTTGTCCTATCGTTTATCGTCGTAATTTCCATTACCGATAGTGATTGCACAAAAAAGGAATTGAACTATCTTGGCTTCCCCTTGTGTTGCTGATTGGCGAGCCAGGAGAAGCGTGTGATTCGAAATGCCGCCGAACAAAAAAGTTTGAACCCAGCTGCAGCTTTTTACTCTATGCTTTGTGGACAACCTTTACTTTTATGGCGAGGGGGGGGGGAGAGATTCAAGTAACCTTCGCTTTAAAGAAGGTGGCTCGTCAGAGCGACAATTTTGGGATATTCACCGTTCATGGCCCCTGGATAAGTCGAGTCTGAAACTGTGCTTTGCAGCTTGAAGATAGCATTAATTCGTTTTTCCGGAAGTGGAAAGTGCTGTTTGGGCGGGCAGCGAAAGCGCCGCCTCTTTGTAGAACGATTGGTTGCTGGAACCAATAACGCTCAGATGGGTACGGTGTCTCTACGCATCCGCACTCCAGAGCCAATCGCTCTCTAAAGGGCGGATCCAGAGCTCGGCACGAGCTGGCACCAAAGGAGTTTCAAAACGAAGTCCCATTTGATCTTGAAATTTTCGTACAAAGTCCCCTTTGACCTGTTTTGAAGGCCCGCCATTATTTTTAGTTTATGTAAAAGTAAGTAGTAGGGTTTTCATGCATGCTGATTTCACGAAACAACTTTTCACAGCTGGGTGGAGGACTATATGTCGCCGAATTTGGAAGAGTCCCGCGCGGATTCCCTGCAGGAACGCATGTCCGCGCATGTAGAAGGGTGCGTATTTGTCGCAAATGACCGCGGGGACCGCCCTTTTTCGGCGACATAGGGTCCTTCACCCTTCACAGCTTTCTGAGCTTTTCAAGTGGTTGCATCACATTCTGAGAAGCAGAAAAAGCCGATTTTTCGATTGCGAAGCAGACCAAGTAATTTTCAGATGGCTATAAAACACTGAAATGAATACATTATGAAATTGTCTTTTCACTATACGTAAACTTTTACAGTCTAGATACATTTTATGTAAAAATGTATGAAAACTTATGTGAGCAAAGTGTCGGTGCCAGCTCAGCTGGCACCCAGCTGGCACGGTGCCAGCTAATTCAGAAAAAAGTTCGGCACAGCTTTCATTCCTTTTGAGCCATAGTTCGGGTCCGCCAACGCGCATGCACACACCAAATTTGGTGTCATACTATTGCGTTTTGGCTGAAAACAACGCCTTTGTTTGTTGATGGGCAGCATGCCGGTGGCATGCCGGCGGCGTTCTAGCGGCACTTCTCCGCCCCGGACTCCGGTTAACGATATCCCCATTGCTTTCCGCCCTAAAAACGATATCCATCTTGACCCGGTGCCAGCTATGCCGAGCCCTGGGCGGATCGCCTACGGTCCAAACATCTACCTCCGAAAAGCAAGTCATTGATATCATTCAAAGCTGCAAAGCTGCAAAGCACAGTTTTAGACTTAGCTCATCCAGGGGATCAGAGAGTTATGAATATTCCAAAGTCACCAATCTGCCGAGCAGCTGCATTCAGAGCTCTATCTCTAGATTCGAAGGTGGTTTGTTCACAAGCAAAAGGCGACCTTTTTTCAAAATATGCGTACTGTTTGCAAAGAACTTGTACTATGTAATGTTTAACAATCCTCAAAGAAGCTAAAATCTTTTAGCATGACATGATGATCTGTCGTCGTGGTCTTCATAACTCGCGCAAAGATTATAAGCACAGTAGAACTGAGGAACTTTCACTCTTTATTGCGAAAATGATGCGATGATAGAAAGTTTTGAAAATTCTCATGTCTCGGCAAAACAACTGAGAGTTCAAAAAATCACTTTCTTACTAACATAGAGCGACTGACCTGAGTGTATCCTTCTATTTTTCCACGAAATTTTCTGTTAAGAAATTCCGTGAATCAAGACTAGTATCCACTGCTCAACCGACCACTGCGAAACAGTGAGCAGACTGCTAACCTACTACATTTGACATTGATTATGGCTTGTCAAAGTGAGAGTTTGCAAAAAAATGCTTGACAGTCTTCAGGATAGGATATTTTTCTCGTAGCTGTTACACTGATTTTTGGGCAGGCATAGAGTTGACAAGGATTTGTGATTGTGACACAGCTTGCTACATTTGCGACCACCAATTGTGAAAGGAGGTATATTGAAAAACTGAATTTTGACGGTAGAACTTCTGATACAGCCAAATCACGGCTCGGCGCAAGTGGCTTGTAAGCCAGCTGGTATCGTTTTTTGGGACGAAAAGCAAAGGGGGTTTCGTTTTTGTGACCGAAGAGAACGGAAAATTGGCGACGGCGGCCTTTTTTTTAGTCGACGTTTCGTTTTTTGGGGGATTTTGGGGAATTTTTCAGGTTTTTAGAGGAAATTTGGATGAGGGTCAAAAAGGACTTCGTAAAAATTCCCAAAAGTCAAGGGGGACTTCGTTTTTTCCATTTTCATCTAGCCACCTCGTGCCGAGCCCTGAGTGAAATACATATCGCTTAACTCAGAGCTCATTTGACTAGTCCTGAAAGCTTTTATTCAGTCGCACATCAAAATCCAAAATAAAAACGCCACAACTCGGCCTACAAAATCACGAAAACAGACTTGGGATCAAAACAACATCCGTCTTTTTGCCTATTTTTGAATCGATTTTCGTAATTGTTTGAATGAATATCTTACAAAGATTTACGTCAATATATTGCTATCGTTAGACCAATAAATAATTCGAAAAACATTTTTTGCTGTTGCGGCTACCTTGCAAAAATTAGTTGGGCTGGAAAGACTTTTGCAAACGAGGACCATGATTCTGATCTTTATTTTATCTAGCGGATGCGCTTGTAAGTCCAAGTCTCAATGTCAAGAGCATGATTTATGCTGACGTGGGCGCTAGAATGCTGTTGCTAGTCTAAATGCTGTTTCAAAATCAGTTTTTTCGTCGCTTTGAAACCGACGATATGCTCGAGAAAGTCGTTCAATAAAGTTTTAGCATGTATTTGTTCTCAATACTTTTCTTTAAAAAATGAAAGCAGTGACAACTTTCTTTCATGAACGATAGTTATATCTGTTGACAAAAATAACAAAAGAACATTCCTGCAGCAGGTTTTGCTCCATCTCCCCAGCGCTCTCGGAAATCGGCTATTTGCATTGGGTTGGTAATCTCTAGTCAGATCTTCCAGCAATTGCTCGTGAATGGGCCCACAGGAACAACACCAAATCTTTGGTCTCGTTTCTGCACTCCTGGCTACTCTGCTCTATGGCTCCTGCTATGTGCCAGTAAGATGGTTTGAAGCAGGCGATGGTAAAAGTTTGCGTAATAGTTTAGGTGCAATTTTTAGGAGTTTTAGGAGCAAAAAAACAGCTTAAGGTGTGTATTTCCAATGGCTGATGTGCATTGGTCAACTCATTGATAGTGTCGCTGTACAAGCGTTTTATGGATGGCCACCGATGTTTCCACTAGCAATGCTTGGCGGGTTCTTCTTTGCTTTGGGTAGGAAATTCGTCACTATTAACAGCTACTCATTTCGTCATAAAGCGAATTCAAGGTAACGCACTAACAATGCCTATCATGAATGGCATAGGTATGGCTGTTGGGTCTCTCTTGTGGAATACACTGACTTGCATTGTGGGATGGGGTGTGTCCCGATTTGGGTTGTTCGGGAGCCCCAAGAAAGTTCCTCTCGACAACGTCATGAATGTTGTCGGAATTATTGTTGTTTTCATTGGGTAAGTATCAACCACCCTTTTGAGCTAAATACTTCATCTCCATAGTTGATGAAATTCACAATGAAACTGACTCTTTCAACGCTGCACTGTACCAGATTTGTAAAGCTATAAGGAGCCAAAGAATCAACTTACGATCAAAGTAACAATCTCAGATTGCAGAGGTTTCTTCTTTGCCACGCTCAAACACCATCCTGTAAAAGTGAGACCTGCTCCATGGCAGAGGGTAAGCATAGTATTTCTTATTCTGTGTAGATGTAAGCTGCTGCTTTCCAGCCTTCGCTACCCTTCAACGCGGATCTGAAGGGTGAACAAGAGATTTCAAAAACGAAGAGAATTTTGTAAGTCCTCATATCTTTTATCTTATATATAAAGCTGAATGTCTGTCTGTCTGTATGTCTGTCTGTCTGTCTGTACGTATGTGCGGAATAGAAATTTTTATTTCTGAACCGATTTGGACCAAACTTGGCACACATATACTTCGGGACAGGGAGCGTGTCATAGGCTACTTTTCGTTATCGATCGATATCGATTTTATCGATTTTTTGCAAAATTTGAGCTACGGGGCTGGGAGTTGGCACAGGGGGGTAATCGAACATGCTGATCACCCCCGTGGGGGTGATCAGCATGTTCGATTACTCCCCTGTGCAAAATCCCAGCCCCCTAGCTCAAAATTTGCAAAAATCGGTGAAATCGACATCGATCGATAACGAAAAGTGGACTATGACACGCTCCCTGCCCCGAAGTGTATGTGTGCAAAGTTTGGTCCCGGGCGGAGCCGGGTTTGCCATCTAGTAACTTTATATTCGTGCGGATGCAAATCTCCGCTTCGTCCGCTGAAGCTTCGTTGATAAAACCTAAACTCGAAAACAATTACTAGTAAGCCCCAGATCTATTATATGAACTTTTGTAAAAATTCCTTTGCCTGTGTCATATGGCTAATGGAAACGTAATCTTCATAGAAAAAAAAAGTGGATAGGACGTCACTACCAACTTTTTCTGCTAGTAAAGACTGAATTATTATGCTTCGTAAGATGTATGCAGCTGCAAAAGTTGATCTCAAAGCAGATGCACATTAGTAAATAATGTAAATCCGTCAGCTCCACTCAGCCTGTGTTTATAGTTTTGAAGTGAAAAGGAGAACCAGATACCAGAAAGTTTGAGAAATTTGATAAAAACTAATTAACATTTTTTGAATGCTTTAAAGGCAGTGTCCGGGCAAAAACTCGATTTTGAGATTTTGTGCTTACCCGGGCCTATTCGCTACGCTGAATCCGAAAATCCACACTGGAAAGCGCGAAAACGGCGAAAAAGGGCTCTAAAGCAGGAGTTAAATCAAAAGTGGGCGGGGTCTTCCCCAGGGTGAATTCGCGTTCCCAGCTCCCGGAGCGATCTTTTCGCTTCCGACTTCAGATCATGCATTCGCACTTGGTCCGTTGAGATGTCAGGGCGGTACTGGAATTGAAAAGATCGCTCCGAAAGCCGGGACCGTGAATTCACCTTGGGGAAGACCCCGCCCACTTTTGATTTCACTCCTGCGTTAGAGCCCTTTTTTGCCGTTTTCGCGCTTTCCAATGTGGATATTCGGATTCAGCATAGGGAGTAGGCCCGGGTAAGCACAAAATCTCAAAATCGACTTTTTGCCCGGACACTGCCTTTAAAGCACATAGCGATCTCGCTACCTCTAGACCATTTGGATGGGCGGAGCAGACCAAACGTAACAATGTTGTGGAGTAATCCTCATTCAATCTTCCACATGGACTTGGGAGAGTACTTATTGAGATAAATTAGTGACGATAAGTGATATTAGGACACGATAAACCTCGAATACCACTTGTGTGAATACCAACAAGCCAAATACGCCACGCGGGACTTTACCACACACACAACACCTCAAACTTGGGTAATTAAACCTTTACTAAGAGTAAATACTAATCAACAAATACACGAGTAAAGCACGCATAAGTGAGCAATATAAAAATACATAAGTGAAATGATCGTTAAATGAGAACTATGATGTGGAGGTTAGATCAACAAAAACACAGACAAAATGCGCATGCTAAATTTTAGGATTTTAGGCAATGAAGGTTGAAAACGTTAAACGCGATTAAAGCCTTTTCCGCAGCATTCAAAAGTTTCTACGCTTAAAGCGAACTAAACTGTTAAACACGACTACGCCGCAATACTTGAGCTAAAGCATAAATGACGAATGTGCTGACGCCTCTCTTGGTCGGGATCGTCGCTACCATCTGGCGCAGCTGCCACTTTGAGTCACTAGGCCACGCTGTTTTTAATGGCTTGTTTTTTCTTGTTGTCGCTTGGCGACACTGCCGCCCGTTTTAGTGATGTTCCGGGCGTCTCGCTGGAGACAGTCTTGCCTGTAACTGCCAAATTTCTTGTTCGAGGATATGATACCTTTCTCGTGCCTCCCACACACGGAGTCGGAGAATTCCTTCGGCGTTTGGGACTGTGCATAAAGCCTTGTGATGCCCCCTATCGTTGGGCCGAAACTCCTCCGCGGGGGTACCCTGTACCCACTCACAGTAAAAACATCTTCTTGTTGGGAAGCGGCACCGTTCCCTGGGGCAGCGCATGAGGCATTTATGGCAGAGGCCGGCCCGTCGCGTGCTTTGATAGGAAACGCTTGTAAGTCGATAATTGCGCTGACATGATGAGTGCTCGAAACAAAGATGCGGCGTGCTATTGTGAGTAGTGCGCGAAGACGTTGACTTGTTTATGCGATTGATCGGAAATTAGCAATGCGAGCTGATATTCCAAAATGCTGATTAATCGGAAATTCCTCTTGTAATGAAGTAATGAATGCAAGTTGACTCGTTCTGCGCGGTAGAGCGTGCCAATGTGTCAAAATGCAATATAAATGTTGGATTTGGGCTTGTTTGGCGGAATGCGAACTGAGAACTGCTATGACGAAAATGAATACAGTTCCGCTTGTTACAAGAAGTTGTTACTAAAGCTTGTGTACCAACCTCTTGTTCTCGGTCCTGGTCCTTGATTGTCCGATGCACCAGTTGAGATAAATTAGTGACGATAAGTGATATTAGGACACGATAAACCTCGAATACCACTTGTGTGAATACCAACAAGCCAAATACGCCACGCGGGACTTTACCACACACACAACACCTCAAACTTGGGTAATTAAACCTTTACTAAGAGTAAATACTAATCAACAAATACACGAGTAAAGCACGCATAAGTGAGCAATATAAAAATACATAAGTGAAATGATCGTTAAATGAGAACTATGATGTGGAGGTTAGATCAACAAAAACACAGACAAAATGCGCATGCTAAATTTTAGGATTTTAGGCAATGAAGGTTGAAAACGTTAAACGCGATTAAAGCCTTTTCCGCAGCATTCAAAAGTTTCTACGCTTAAAGCGAACTAAACTGTTAAACACGACTACGCCGCAATACTTGAGCTAAAGCATAAATGACGAATGTGCTGACGCCTCTCTTGGTCGCTACCATCTGGCGCAGCTGCCACTTTGAGTCACTAGGCCACGCTGTTTTTAATGGCTTGTTTTTTCTTGTTGTCGCTTGGCGACACTTATTGTGCTTTTTGCACTTTTCTTAGTGGATCTAATTAATATACAAGTTCTTTATCATTAATAAGGCCCCACAATTGCAGAGCATTGGTCACCCTTTTTCTCACCAGTTTGAGGTGGACATTGCCTTTAGAATTTCAGTTACATCAATTATGAGCCAACAAGTCATTTTTAGGAACCTTTTGGGCACAGGCGGAGACAACAGTAAACACTAATATCATTATTCACGCGCCTTACTTGATCCACTTGATTCACTTCGCTATTGGTCAATTTACTGATTTAACCAGTAATGAAATGGAGGAAGTGAATCAAGCGGAACAAGTAAACCAAGTATGGCGCGTGCCTTAACCCAAAAATTCACATTCACAAATTTTCAGAGTCCTTTACTCGAAAGATGGTGACATGTAACGTGTCGTAACCTTCCTTATTGCGTACTGCCACAATTTAGAGCCATCTTATGCACAGTCATTGTTGGGTGCATGTACGGTAACATGCTCACGCCCATAGGTTACCTGAGCATGCATGCACATGACGGGCTACTGAAGCATTATGCTACCTACTTTTTCTCGTGGTGTATTGGTGCATTCTTGACATCTACAGTGATCTTTATGTTCTATTCTGGATTCAGGTCAGTCAGCGAGTGCATGAGTGTTAACGATATTCTATTTCTACACTATTTATTGATGTTCAGAAAAAATCGTCCGCTCATAAATCCAGAATTAACATTACCATCGCTGCTTGCTGGTCTGATGTATGGAGGTGCTTCCTTTTACTTCTTCTTAGCAAATGAACATCTCGACCCGGTAAGTTTACATTGCTCTCAGTAAAGGTAAGAATCGAGGGAATGGACAAAGCTTCAAAGAGAATTTTGTTGCTCGTCGCTTTTCTCGATGAAAACATGTGATTGTCCTCATCATCATAGTATACCGCTTACAGATCGTCGCATATCCATTCTTGACAAAGGCTCCTGGAATTGTTTGCGCTATGTGGGCAGTGTTTCTGTTCAAAGAGATAAGAGTGAGTTGAATGTAAGGGCCGCATGCATTAACATCCCCGTCAGGGAAGGGAATCGCAGCTTTAAAAGAAAGATTCACACCTGAAGCTCCAGATACAATACCACTCACAGAATGTGCAAAATTCCCGTGAATGTCGCGGAATTTTGGGTATTCCGCGAATGTCCGCGACTTTTCCGATTCAGTGACATTCTGGAAATTTCGCGAAATTCCCGAAATATCCAGCAAATATGCAAATTATGCAACGCCATAACTTCCTTCGGAATGAATATATTTTGAATCCGAAAAAAGCATTGTGCTCAGCTCATCAAGGCGAATCTTCCTGTATAAAGCACTAGCTGGCTTACCCGGCTCCGCCGTATCCGGACCAAACTTGGCACACATACACTTCGGGCCCCGGCGGGTGTCACAGTCCACTTTTCGTTATCGATCGATGTCGATTTTACCGATTTTTATCGATTTTTTGGCAGAGTTCACCTACAGGGCTAGGAGTTGGCACAGGGGGGAAGTGAGTATGGGGATTCCGAATACAATATTAGTTTTCAGAATTATCGATTGCTTTTATTGATTTTATCGATTTTTTGGCAGAGTTCACCTACAGGGCTAGGAGTTGGCACAGGGGGAAGTGAGCATGGGGATTCCGAATACATTATTAGTTTTCAGGATCGTCCAATACTTTTATCGATTTTATCGATTTTTTTGCAAAGTTTGACCTGCGGGGCTGGGAGTTTGCACAGAGGGTAATCGAGCATGCAGATTACGAATACAATATTAGTTTTCAAGATCGTCCATTGCTTTTATCGATTTTATCGATTTTTTGAAAATTTGAGCTAGGGGGCTGGGAGTTTGCACAGAGGGTAATCGAGCATGCAGATTACGAATACAATATTAGTTTTCAAGATCGTCCATTACTTTTATCGATTTTATCGATTTTTTGAAAATTTGAGCTAGGGGGCTGGAATTTGGCACAGGGGTGTTCGAGCATGCTGATCCCTTGGGGATGATCAGCATGCTCGATTACCCCCCTGTGCCAACTCCCAGCCCCCTAGCTCAAACTTTGCAAAAAAATCAATAAAATCGATAAAAGTAATCGATAATCCTGAAAACCAATATTGTATTCGGAATCCCCATGCTCGATTACCCCCCTGTGCCAACTCCCAGCCCCGTAGGTGAACTCAGCAAAAAAATCGATAAAAATCGATAAAATCGATATCGATCGATGACGAAAAGTAGCCTATGACACCCGCCGGGGCCCGTAGTGTATGTGTGCCAAGTTTGGTCCGGATCGGTTCAGAAATGGAATTTTCTATTCGGAACATACGTACACACAGACATACAGACAGACATACAGACAGACATACAGACAGACAAACAGACATTCAGCTTTATATATAAGATGTCCTTGATAATTCGATTTCAGTATTCTTGAATCTTTCTGAGGACGTCTCTTCGCAAAGGTGTAAAGCAGCGGGTATTGCCCCCAGTAGATTCAGAAAGAAATCTTCGATAGTACTTCTTCAGTAGATTATGGGAAGCCAAGAATTGGCTGCATATTTCTTTCCAAATGTAATAGAAGGGCTGGCGAATTTTGGTAAAATCATTTCGTTTTAAAGTTTACTCACCATAACCCTAAAATATGAAGCTCTCTTGCTAAGCAGATGTGATTTTTGAGCAAGTCGGATGACCCCTTGAGCAAGTTTTCCGAGATGTCGGGTTATTACATTTTTTCTCGTTTTACGCTCTGAAACTCGCCGATGGATTTTAGTCATAATGTTGATGGTCTTGAATTGTAAGGAAACTTCGCTTATAGAGGTTTTCGGGCACGCTCTATACAAAAATCGTACTCTTTGAGATATATAAGGTCTGTTTGCGGTGATATGGTGAGGTAACCTAACTGAGGCACGAAAGTGCGTAACTTTGCCTGCACTTCTCGCGTATCTGTCAGAAAACTTGCCCGCTTACTTTTATAGATCAAACTTACTTGGGAACTGTGCCATTGAACGGTGGATGTCTTGGACTCCGCTTTTTACCTTTGCGAAGAAACGTCCGGAGAAAGTTTCAAGAATACTGAAGTCGAAATAACAAAACTTGCTGTAGATCGAAAGATTCGCCTTCATGAGCTGAGCATAATGCTTTTTTCGGATTCAGAAAATATTCATTGCAAGAAATTTGCCGTTAAAGTAGAATCTGGAAACGCATAATTTTTCGAGAGACTGACTGACGTCTCTATCTCTTTTGAAAAGAAATTGAGTGTATTTTTGGCGCACTATAATCTACAAGAACAGCCTATCAAAAAGTACTTACTGCTATTTTTTATGTTATATAGGCGCTTCATTACATCCTTGCGAAAGGGCCTCCGCAGAAGAATTTGAGAAAATTGGAAACGGGATATAGACGACATGATGTACATTAAAATATTAGCCTTAACGAGCTGAAAAAATGCTGCTTTTGAATTCAAAATATATTCTTTCCGAATTAAGTCATGGGCTGCGTAATTTAAGATATTCAGAGATTCGCGGATTTTTCGGAATTTCGCGGAATACCCGGAATTCCGCGACATTCACGGAAGTTTTGCACTTCTGTGAGTGGTATTCTATCTGGATTTCACGCTGTCTATCTATCCTTAGGTACTCCCACCACCCTTCACTTTGAACATCTTGAACGGATGAAAGAAGCTGAATAAGCCGTATTTTCCGCTTTTTGTTTGATCCCCTGATGATCCCTGGCTGCCGACCGTCTTTTCTACAAAGTCATTTTTCTCTTTTCGAAGTCAAGAAAAACATTCCAAAGTTGCTCTGTTTATCTAACCCAACAGTGCTAATCATGTCTCTGGTAAGAACAAGTGATGTTTCGAAGTCATGAAATTCGCGATGATCCACAAGTTGAAAGTTGGATTTTATCGAAAAAATCGATAACCCAAAAACTCATTTGTTCTCATCAGCAGTATGCTTAGCACTATTAGTTTAGATAATCAGTACAACTTTGAAATGTTTTCATTAACTTTAAAGAGAAAAAAAATGATTCTAAAGAATAGGCGGTCGTCCCCCGGAGATCATCAGAGGATCATACAAAAAGCTAAATAATTCGGCATGCAATGTACAGCTTCTTGCTCCCGCTCAATATGTTCATAACGACTGTTGATGGATATACTTACGGATAGGTAGTCCAAAAATCCAGATATCTGGAGCTTCAGGGTTGAAGCTATCGTCTGAAGCTGCGATCCCCTCTCCGGCGGGGATGTTAATGCATGCGGCCCTAAATTGCACAGCAGTGAGCTTGGAGAAACGGAAGTGCCAGGGCTCAAAAGTTTCTTTAGGGCAGCTGGGACATGACACACTTGTTTGTTGGGATTCTCGTCACTGTCGCTGGCTTGACCATGATAACGTTATCAAAAGTTACGAGCTTTGATTACACTTGGTTTGAAAAAGTGCAGGTTTGGGTTTTCATGCGCTCATGAAAGCCTGTAGCCTCGTAAACACATCTAGATTTTTCTTGCTTTCTTCCGACAGCCGAAGAAATTTACAATATTTACAACTCACAGTGATGTTCAATAAATTTTGTGTGTTTATATTTACTAAAAGAATATATGGAAATGCGAAGAGTCCTTTATAAATATTGTCGATCTCGCAGTTTCAAAGCATTTCCAAGAAAATCTACTGCGATGGAAGATAGTGCATCTGTTAAATTTTTTGCTAAATGATCATAATTGAAGATGATCAAAATGGTCACAATCGTCACAGTGTAAGGAACTGGATACGTGAGGTCTGTTCTCGTTTCTTTCATCTAGAAGAACACAAAAAGAAAAAACAATGTCACAAATTCAAAAATATACGGTTACGAAAACACTTTGCAATTGCACAAACTTTTTTGCATTTCTCCGTTTCATAACTGGATTTCACGTAGTCGCTAAGGCTCAGAAGAATGGAGAGGCTTAATCTGAGACTTTGTTTTGGCGATGTACCACTTTGTTCTGGCGATGTAGAAGTGTACCACACAATACCCCGAAAATGTGATAGGAAACTCAAATGAAATTAATTCTGAAGTCGAAATGTGGTGTATTAGTTGGTGACTGGGATATAGTCAGGACTATAAGGCTTCGAATACCACTTGTTAGCCACAATCACAAAATTTATCTGCCACGAGGGTCTTGAGCGGGTAGACACGAGCACACCTCAAACTTGGGTGATTAAACTTTATCTTTCAACAAAAATAGCAACAATAAACACGATTGAATAGATAACAAAGTGAAATAAATGAATGAGATCTGAACTACAAAAGGTTGTTACAAACTAAGAGAAGGCATAAATAAATGATTCAAACTAATGTTGAAGTAAGAGGCGAAACTGTATATCGACTGACTCTGACTGTGCACTCTTAGCTACTTACATGCCTGAAACCAAATCGTCTAGGAACAGCTGTGCATGAATTCACAGATACGCGAAAGAAATGGTAGAAAACACATCTGTTGCTAACATCTGCACAATCCTACAACGGCAAAAACAGTGCGAGCTACTAGATTCATCTTTGCTGTACAACCTTCAGGGTTTTCAACCACACAGATTCACATTACCAGGGCATTTTGGGGCAGAGAATAATAATACGAATTGCGAAATTCGTATATGTGGAGTATACTTGAATTAGCGCAAGAAAGAGGGCGAAAGATAAGAGGAAGATGAAAGTATTCTTTCAAACGGTAGCTAAGCACACAGTAAGTGCTACTAATGATGAAAATCTCAAATTACCGCGAGTTAGTAAATCTGAAAGGTCGTTGATTTGAGAATGGTTGACGCTACATGATGAACTTGCGCGTCTACTGTATGTTTGCAGTTGCACGAGCTTTATTCAGAGAAAGGTGGCTGATGCATTAGCACTATACATTGGGTAACCTCAGCAAGTACATTCTTGATATCCGGACTTGGTGAGCAGAGTTAGTCTAGTGGTTAGTGCTCTACGTAACATTGCCGTGCTGAAGGTCACGGGTTCGATTCCATCCTAAGCCTAATTTCTGCGGCAAAAATTCTGCTCACAATTCCAGCGTCAGGCTGCCCTTCCAAAGAAGGGCATGCGACAAGCCGACTGAGAAACACCCCGTCGCATCAAATAGTACAGACATGTCTCATATAGTTACTCGAGTAAAGGCTAGGGCGTCCCCCGGAGGCGACGCGCATTCGAGCCCGACGAATGCGATTAGTGGGCGAGGGTTACCGTCCCAGCAAGGTGAACGGGGACGGCTAAAGCGGCTAGTTCACCAGAGGCAACGATCCAAGGCATCGCAGACTCTCCGTCTAGCTACCATCAATGTGGGTACACTCACCTCCCGTTCTCGAGAAGTGGCAGATCTTCTGAAAAGACGGCGAGTCGATATAGCTTGCATACAGGAGACGAAGTGGAGCGGGGCAAAATCGCGAGACACGGAGATGGATATAAGCTCCTCTACAACGGTTCCAGCAACAACAGAAATGGAGTTGGTATAGCTGTCTCGGAAACTCTGAGGAGTAACATAGCTGACGTTGAACGTATAAGCGATCGCCTAATGAGTGTCAAAGTAGATACTGGGAAACAAGTCCTACGAGTCATCACCGCCTACGCACCACAGGTGGGGTGTAAGGATGATGAAAAAGACGCGTTCTGGCAGGAGCTTGATGACCACATCAATTCAATCCCACTGGATGAGACACTCCTGCTGGGAGCGGACCTTAACGGACATGTGGGAGAAAGGCGAGAAGGAGCAGGCAAGTGTCATGGAAACCACGGATACGGAACCTGCAATGAAGAAGGTGAGCGCATTCTGGAATTCGCCTCAGCTCATGATCTGGTCTTGGCGAACACATACTACATCAAGAAGAATGACCACCTCATTACATATGCAAGTGGTAACCGACGAACCCAAATAGACTTCTGGGCTACCCGACATTGCGACATGAAACATGTAAAGGACTGCAAAGTCATTCCCGGTGAAAGCTGCATTCCTCAACATAGACCACTGCTTCTCGACCTCAGAATCTCGATCTACAGGCACATCAAAAGATCTACAGAGACCAGGACATGCATCAAATGGTGGAAGTTACAAACCGACGACGCGGCAAAACAAGCACTACTAACAACTCTCCCGAGCCTGCAAGAGAACCCAGAGCAATCCTGGGTAAACCTAAAAAGGCGGGTCCACCAAGTGGCACACATGCTCCTGGGTAGTACAAAGCCAGGAAGAAAAAGAATCAATCGAGAAACGTGGTGGTGGAACGATGAAGTACAAATGGTAATAAAGAACAAGAGGGATGCGTACAGGCGATGGCATCAGTCAAAATCGGAGGCCGATCGTCAGACATATCAACAAACCAAGCACGCTGCGAAAGCCTCCGTAAAGAAGGCAAAACAGGTGTACATGAAACAGCTCTACGAGAGACTGAAGTCTCGCGAGGGAGAACGAGATATATACCGAATAGCCAGAAGAAGGGCAGAGTCCACAAAGGATATGGATCACCTCCTCCACATCAAAGACAAACTTGGTAGGACGCTAAGAACACCGGCAGACATCGAAGAGATGGCCAACACAAGCCGCAGCGTCAACACCATCCCAAGAGCTGATCCCGTAGATGGACCAGTACCACCAGTTACGAAAGAGGAGGTATGGTTAGCCATAACGAAAACGAAGAATGGTAAGGCGACTGGTCCAGATGACATACCAAGCGAATTCTGGAAAGTATGTGGACAATCCGGGGCCTCCTGGCTATCAGATCTCCTCAATCAGATCATAAGAAGCAAAAGTCTGCCTCGTGACTGGTACACTAGCACAACGATTCCGATATGGAAGAACAAAGGGGACGTCGCAGACTGTGCATCCTACCGGCCAATCCGACTAATGAGCCACACTCTAATCTTCGAGCGGATAATCGAAACGCGGCTTCGTGATATCATAGAGTTGCCACCAAATCAGTGCGGATTTGTGAAAGGAGTAGGTACAACTGACGCCATCCACTCCGCTCGAATAATGATGGAGAAATATAGAGAGAAGCAAAAGGAGTTACACGCAGCCTTCCTGGACTTGGAAAAAGCCTTCGACAAGGTGCCCTATGAAGTCATATGGTGGGCCTTACGGAAGCACATGGTTCCAGAAGAGTACGTCCAGTGGATACAGTTGATCTATCACAACGCTTCAAGTCACATGCAAACAGCTGCAGGGCAATCGAAAGAGTTCCAAATCAAGGTTGGAGTACACCAGGGATCAGTTCTCTCTCCCTTGCTCTTCATCACTGTAATGAACGCCATAATGGAACCATTCAGACGTGCACCTCCTTGGACACTTCTCTACGCAGATGATGTGGTCTTGCTAGGAAGCACCAGAAAGGAGTTGCAAGACGAGGTACAGAAATGGAAAGACAGGTTAGAGTTGTATGGGCTAAAGCTCAACACCAAGAAGACGGAGTATATGGAAGTGGGGAAACAGACTCCAGGAACCATATGTATCGATGGTGAAGAGCTAAAGAAGGCAACGTCATTCAAGTACCTAGGCAGTCACATCACAGCAGAGGGAGGCTTACAAGACGAAATCGCAGGCAGGATAAATACAGCGTGGATGAAATGGAGAGCCTTAACGGGAGTTCTCTGCGACAGACGAATGCCAGTACAGCTCAAGTCCCAACTGTACCGGACTGTCATCCGACCAGCGGCCCTCTATGGTAGTGAGTGCTGGCCATGTACGCGAAATGAGGAGCGCAAGCTCGGTGTCATGGAAACAAGGATGCTACGATGGACCTTAGGTGTCACACTGAAAGACCACATCTGCAATGACACTATACGAGCCCGAATGAAAGTAGCCCCAATTGCCCAGAAAATGCAGGAAAAGAGACTACGATGGTACGGCCATGTGCGCAGAAGGGAGGAAAGCCACGTTACGAGGCTAGCCCTGGCGGTGAAAGCACCAGGCAAGAGACCTAGAGGTAGACCCAGGATGAGGTGGATGGATAGGATCAAGGCCGACTTGCGAGAACTTGGAATAGATGAAGACCTTGCCTCAAATAGGAAGACATGGAGACAACTGACAAGGAAAGCAGACCCTGCATAAGCGGGACCCATGCGAGGATAAAAAAAAATCCGGACTTGGTGTAAGCATAAAGAAAATTTTTCTTCCCTTCTTCATGAGATTGTATACATATTTAGCACAAAAATCCAGAACGGGGAGCCTAGAAGGGAATGTTGAAACTTGGTCCATCCAATCCAAACAAGCTAGCTTTTTCGTTGCTAAATCAAAATTAACACAATTTACTTCCTTAACAAATCAGGCCAAGTTACATGCATGCTGGGTCTTCCTTCGGTGAGCAGAGGCATTTTCTGTGGCAAGAATCGAAATGAGATCAAAATAATTCGGAATCGAGACTTTCACAGCACGGAAAGTGTGGAAAAAACAAAACTTTTAGCTCCAAAGCCAAAGAAAGAATCTGCATTAGCTTCACCGACGAGATCATAGTTGCATAGTGGGTCATCACTCCGGAAGCATTTGCATTGTTTGTGGTGTACCCTTCGAAATTGAGTTTTTCATCAAATTTTATGAAAACTGTGGGGTAAACAAATTTTTGGTTTTTAAATGTGTTCAGCCACAGAGGGATTGCCTTAGTTCTACCGCGAGA